ATAGTTGCACATCCTTCTAGTTGCTGTATGTGGGACGTGGCCTCAGCATGGCCGGAGAAGCGGTGCGTCGGTGCGTGCCTGGGATCCGAACCCCGGCCGCCAGCAGCAGAGCGCGTGCACTCAACCGCTAAGCCACGGGGCCGGCCCCAAGACTGGCTTTTTAAAAGTGAGCAAGTTGACCCGAGGATAAACATCTACTTCACCTATACGTCTTTGCATAGTACAAAATAAGGTCCATTGAATGTGATTTTGGCAATCTGAGTTCATTCTGGACAACTGATTTACCATTAGAAAACGTCATCTTCAGTACAGGTTTGTAACAAATTCATTCACCCAGAAAATGCAACCCCATATTTGGAGTCTGACCAAATGGATTCACTCAAATCAACCAACCAAAAACACAAAAATAAAAAAAAAACAGATAAAGTATACATTTCTCTCATATATCACACTTAGGTTAAAAAAAAATCAATTTTTCAGGAAATAATCATGAATTTAAGTAGTTAAAAATGTCAGTTTGAAAAGAATCAATTGCATACACCATTGAAAGTTATTTCATATTTTATTTTCTAATTGCAATAGTTTGCATCTAATTTCTTTACATCATTCCAAAGGATGGGAAAGGAAACCTCCAAATCAGTTAATACTAATTAGCTGTTATGAATCTAAAGTAAAAGGACATAAAAGGACTCATTAAAGACTTAAGAATGAAATATGACCAGAGCTATCAATATTAATAACTATAAACTTTCTCTAAAGAAATATAGAGCAGTTGGTATTTTGAAAACATCTTCAAGCAATTTAGAGACTTCCCTCTGTTAGTCTTATGATGAATTAAAAGAGTGGTAGCATTATTTTAAATATTGTGTCAACATGAATATACAAATATATATTCTACATGTTTCTTTTCTTATAGGAACCAAAGACTGCAAGGAAAAGAAATGGTAACTAGAGAATATAAAAGACATGCATATTCTATCTTACACAGTCCTGGACATCAAGTGAAAAGTGGCAGACGTTACTTTAATTGATTACATGTATGAACACAAATTATTAATCTTCCCAACAATTCTGCGATTCTGCAGGTACTGTTCTCATCATCCCCATCTTACAGTTGAGGAGCCTGAAGCTCAGACAAGCTGGAGAAGGTGCATGTGGTCACCTGCAGGTAAAGGGCAGGGGGTTGGGGCACAGGCCACCTGACCCCAGGGCCCATGCTCTGCTCTTCAATCTCCATCACATTGCCTCCTAAGTACCTGGCGGAAGGGGGGAAGAGAGGACACAGTCCAATACACTCTCCAAATTCCTCGGTTCACTCTATACCTGAGAGGCTAGTGCCTTATCACACTTACGTAGTAAGATTTAATTCAGATTTTGTTCTTTTCTGAATAGGAAGAAAAAAGCAAGGATAAAAAGGATGGTAGTTTAAGATAAATCAAAAACACAAGTGGTGTGTACAAGCGCATGGGAGTTCGAAGAGTATAAATGAAACTTCCCCCTACTAAGCAGGACAAAGATCTAAACATCTCGTACCAATACAAATCTGTTTAATCTTTACAAGTCAGGTAACATAAACAACCTCACTTTCATTCTGATACTTGAACTGTCAAGCCACAGTTAATACTGGATGTTGTTTAATCTGTACACAATACAAATAAAGTATAAACCCAGCTAGGTATTTTATTTGAAACATGCTTTTACCTATTTGATTACTCAGTTGCTCTGAAGTCAATACTGACAGCAGTCTATATCTATTAAAGATGTTCTTCAACATCCTATAATTTAATATTTACACAAGATAGATGAGATTAAGTTAAACTACAAGTCACAAGGAGTTTTGTAAGCAACTATATTTATAGCCACACTTCCACAGATGTGGTGAGTAAACCAATGGCCATTCCTTAATAAAATAAGAATTTTCACCATGCATAGTTCACAGGCTCCTTAAGAGGTGGTCTCTTTAAGAGGCTGGATGTTCCAAGAAAGATTCAACAAACAATTAAATCTTGGCAAGTCTTTTTTTTTTTTTTTTTTTTTACCACAAATGCTTGGTTTGGTTATTTAGCCACCTTAGTAATATAACATATATAAACTCTAATTGGAAGTGGAATAAACAGTGCATGAAAAATATATGCCTATTAAATTCATCAGTAATAACTATTATACCCTCTTAGCAGTAAGAACCATTATTCTTGCATTTCAAACATTTTATTTTTTTCACGGTACACCTTATAGCACTGTATTATAGGAATCAGAGAATAACCAAAAAAAACAAAAAACAAAAAAAACAACCCCAAAACAAAACAAAAAACCTTTTCTTGAGGACCACTTCCATTCCTCATTTGAAATATAATCAAATCAATGAAACTATACAATTTCCACATTAAAGACAAGTTAGTAAAATAATTCCTCCAAGTAGTGTTGCATATGAGCTACCACTTTACCCCAACTATTTTAATCATTATGATTCGAGATTTTCCAGGAGGCAACAGCACTAGATTGAGCTGTTACTACCTAGGCAACAAAACAAAACAAAACAAAACAAGTCACTAGCAAACACATGAATTGGGGTCATAGTTGTAATTTATAGAATCTGTAGACAAACCATATTTGTTAGAGAAGGTAAGTAGAAAAATACTAATGTTTGAGTTGCACCATTCCTACCATGAGCTGTATTACAGATGCAGAGTTAAAACATTCTTGGTAAAATAACATGGAAGGAGCTATATATACTATAAATTCAGCAAAACAATTTTATGTACAGAAGCCTAAATATCTTAGGAGGTTTAGATTACTGATGAAGACAATCACTAAGTCCATTCTTCAAGGCTGGTTTCTTAAAAGTATTAAAAACCAGCCCATGGTTTCAGATGCATTCCATCTAGGTAAGTGTTCAGGAACTCCACCGAATTAGAAACATGAACTGCAACTGTCCACTCTTAATTTCTATTCTTTGATTTAATAATGTTTTATAGTACCTCAGATTTTCACTCTGGAGCTTGCACACTTAGGAAAGGAAATTATACTAAGTGTGGGATTAGAGAAGATTGGCTTGTTTTTTGAAGCCACATGAAGGTTAATCCCCCTTTGTATTACTTTTCATCACTGAAAAGTTCTCTGGAGACCAATAATAAAGCCTTCACAAGCTACACAACGGATCTCTTCTTTTGAAGCTGCATACGATTTCAATGTGGCTACAGAGGTCTAACTAGCCCAGCCCTTCATTTCATCTTACTAGAGGTGATAATGAAAAACTAAATAAGGCAGGGTGAAATCTAAATTTCCAATAAAATACAAGCAAAAAAATCTGTACACACAATAAAATACATCCTAAACACAAAGTAAGGGTATAAGATACTCTGCAGCATGACATTGTCTTTATTATATTTCTCAGCTGAAGCTCTTCCATTCAGAAATTGGAGACCGTCTCTTCATTAAGTTATTCCCTCCTCTTTCCCCAGCTTAGGGATAGTTTGAAAAGGCTTAATTCATACAAGTTGTTATGAAACTAAAATTTCATTTATACATAAGTTAAGTGTTTATAAAGCACTCAAAATTATACCTTACATGTATATGACTTCTGAAATAAAATGACTTTTAACATAATCTTTTTGTTCTGTAAAAGTATTCTACATACATGCATATAATCAAAACAATCTTCTCTTGTTTTGGAAATTTCCCTTGCAAATTAAAAAAAAAAGTGGACAATACCAATATTTCCAATGTTAAGATAACTGGGTGCCACCTAGTGTTCAATTTCTGCAACTACTAACCTTACAAATTCAAACTTGCTATTAAAACCCAGGTTCTAAAACCTGCATTTCGGAAATGCTTTTTTGTTGATACGTTTATAGTGGCAAAAAGATAATGAAAAGAATGTACATGATATCAAAATTAGTATAAAAATAGCCACATGCTACTTTAATATGAAAAACAGACCTAATCATTTTTGACTTCAAATGCAGATTTCTGCCTTTCTTAAACTGTATTAAAATCTCAAGGGAACATCTAGGTAACTGGAATATACAGAAAGTCACTGTACAATCAATAGGCTAGTCAAGACTAGGGCTTAATCATAACTCATAATGAGTGTAGGGCAAATGGTTTATTCAACACATCTATTTACTTACTGGAAGTGGTCAGAGTAGGAAAGGCAGTAATGCATTTTCTTCTCTTTTTTAAAAAAGCAGATGTAGTCTTTTACCCATAAGCTCCACCACATCAAAAGAACAAAGTGGGCTTAACATTTCACTTAAGAGAATTCAGCATTACCAGTTTTTAAAGAAATATCTTAGAAACAAACCAGTCTCCTTTAACAAATTGCACTCATGCTAATGAAATTTTAATCTTCTTTAACAGGTCACAGCCAAATTCCAAATTGTTGAACAATCCTCAGAGAAACTGGAATGTAAAATGTGGAGTTCGACTTAGATCTGGAAAGGAAAAGAACATCAGATCAAACAAAAGAAGAATTCTTATATTCCAGTAGTCTACCACTCATAAGGGAGACTTGAACCCCCTTAGGCTATCTGGGAAACAAACTCAGTTTGAAGAGAAAATTCTGTACACTAGGTTTTTCTCAATTCCAGTCTGTTGCCAGTAAATCTTTACAACCTCCCTCAGAATGTTAGATGTTATGCAGAATATTCTTAATAAAGTTTATCATCTCCTTCCTTCTGTGCTAGTGATTAGAGATTTTTTATTTTGGGGGTGGAAGCAGACACAGGGGAGCATTATTTCTTTAAGAGAGGGACAAGTGTGACACTGACCAAATTCTCCTCCTCCAAGTCAACCTGGTTATAAGAATGAAGGCTGGAACACCTATAAACCACCCGGAGAAATGTCTCAGGAAGAAGTAGGGTTCTTAGGTGACAGACAAAGCAACCTCTACAAAATGTTCAAGATAACTCAAATTCCTTTAATAATCACTGTCTTGATCATCTCTTTCCCTGCCAGCCTACTAGACCCAGTTCTGATGAAGCATTTGCACAGATTCAGAAATTTTTTCCTTAGAAAATCTTAACTTCTGTCTACTCAACCTATCACCTCTGTGTATGTGACTTCATATTCAGGCACGATCTCTGGTTAGGTTCTTAATTTCCCAAACAGGCCTTCTACCCCAGCTGAGCTGTAAAAATGTTTGGATTATCCCTTAATCTACAACACAATAGCTCCATGTCAGGTTATTGTCGCAGAATATAATCGATAAATCTGTCAATGTATCACTAACAGTTTAGTCACAAGAATCTTCTGGTTCAGGGTCTCCAAAGGAAACTACGTTAGCAAAATAATAGAATGATGTATTTATTTCTTATCCTTTTTCATTTTCTATTTTAGGGTATGCTTTAAAATGTACATAGCAGGGGCCGGCCCCATGGCTTAGTGGTTAAGTGCACATGCTCTGCTACTGGCGGCCAAGGGTTCGGATCCCGGGTGTGCACCGACGCACCGCTTCTCCAGCCATGCTGAGGCCATGTCCCATGTACAGCAACTAGAAGGATGTGCAACTATGACATACAAGTATCTACTGGGGCTTTGGGGGGAAAAAAAAGGAGGAGGATTGG